GCCGCTTTTCCCATAAAAATCAATACTTCGATAAATAACTAAGTTAACATTTTTATTACAAAATCTCTCGATTTTAGACTGAATCACTTTTTTTGATCAATACATCGATATTTAATTTAAAAAAAAAGTTAATTACAATGCCCGTTTTTATTGTTTCTCGTTTTCAGTGCTATTTTTTGGGCATTTTTTGTTGTGTGGCAGCACCGACATTGTAGTACAATTGGTTTACAAAGCAAAAAGTGAGGTTGAAGTTGACATTTTTTGCAACTTAAAATTCAATTTTCATAAAAACTATAAGCCTCCGGAGGGTGCGGTTTTCAGATTTACAATCACAAAAAGCCGCTCTAAACCCCCTCATTTTTGCTTTTTTTTAAAAGCCGGGTTCCGTATTGGAAAATTTTCCCAGTTTTACGAGATCACAACAATCCTCTGAAGCTGCCGGAGTCTGTGTAAGCAAGAGCAAAGCATTAAGTATACACGCAAATAAGTGTTGTCATTTGAGGCAGCATACTTGTGTCCTTACAGATTTGTAGCTCATTATCGGTTAAAAAAAGAGGCATTTGTAATGGTACTAAATACTATCGAAAGGTATATACAACGAACTTCCATTTCGCCAATTATTAAGTTGTGCGCAGTGCTTCGCTTCCTAGCAGAAGGATCATATTAGCGTTCCGCAGGGAATGATATGAATATAAGTTTGGATAGAAGCACTGTATCTGAAATTTTAACACAAATGTTAAGACTTTTGGAGAATCACATTTGCCTTCAATGGGTCAAGTTGAAAATGGATCCAGACGAAAAAACAGCGTCGAGGGATTATTTTTTACAACAAATTCAAAATTCCTTGCATCGTTGGATGTATCGATGGGACGCATATTCAAATAATTAAACCTCATAACAATGAACATTTATTCTTCAACAGAAAAGGATATTTTAGTATGAATGCGATGATTGTAAGTAAATTTTATATTTTGATATTGAGGGTATGTAAGAAATTTAAAGTTTTTTGTTAGATTTGTGACAGCAATATGATAATACGTGCGGTTGGTTCACGATACCCCGGCACAAGCCACGATTCTTTCGTATGGAATGTAAGCAATGCGCGGCAATATTTTCTACGGGAATATGCAAATGGGGACCGATCATCCAGACTACTGGGCGATTCCGGATGTGGTATCGATGCATTTATGTTAACACCCTATTGGGATCCCCAATATGCAACTCAACAATACAAATTTAATAACGCGCATTCCTCAGCCCGCAACATAATAGAGCGAACTATAGGTGTTTTGATTTCGTTGCTTGCAAAAAACTTTACACTATCAACCTAGGAAGGTAGTTAAAATTGTAAATGTCTTTTGCGCGCTGCATAACATCTGTCGGCAGTAAAATGTAGAATGGAATGAAAATGCTAATTTTACTGCATCAGAAAATGTTCATGAAGACACTTTTATGCTGCAAAACAGCAATATACAAAATGAGGGCCGTAGAATAAGGGATGAGATAGCTAATAGTCTTTAAGCAATAATGCCTTACAACATTGTATACTATGGTCTATGTTCCATGCAAACTTTGAATTTATTTAGGAGGTAGAGAGAAACGGAGGTATTAATTAATGTATAAAAGATATTAAAGGAAATAGTTTATGTGTTTATGGAAACACCAACAACGCAAATGCAAATAGTTTACTCTGCATTTACATACGTGTTTTACGACTTCTTTTTTAATTACAGATAATTAATGCACGCGTTTTGTATGTAATGCATTTTACCAAACTTGTGTATTTAACTTTAAATTTACCCACGTGGTCCAATGAACAAGCTATTGAGCAACAATACAAGAGAGTACACCACTTGTGAACGGGTGACGTAATCTTGGTGTTATATATAAAATTTGGGGTCGTACTTTCGTATCGCTCTATTAAGGCCACCTATAAGGGGAATTATGATCAGGATTAGGAGCTGGTTAAATAGGCAAATAAAACAAAACATAAGGTGCGAGTGCTTGGATACACCTTACATTCGAACCGATGATGCAGAGACGGTCGACGAAGAAGTCTTTGCTTTGGATGATTTAAAACCTGATGAATTTGTGACAACTATAGTTAAATAACGTGTCGCTTAAGTCGGAGGTTATGCTTTGCAGGTTGCCAAGTAAAAGGTAAGTGAAGGAAATTAATGATTATTAAAGCATGAATATGAATATTCCCTTTTTGCTTTGAATAATTCTTTAGCAGGTATCATCGGGGACCTTATCTTGCTCCAGTACCCATTTAACCAACAACGGGCACATGTCAAGAATGTCAATGAGGATTTTGTGGAATTGCTGATTCTGCTACGAAACTATGGCAAGCTGGTGAAAGTGCATACGAAAATGCTGCATTCAAAAGTGCGAATATTCAACTAACGCCAAAAGAAGTGGTCTATGTGAAAATGCTGGACAAAAACCAGAATCTATTGTCCGGTGCGATGGAAAACCGGTTTATTGACGAGGTTTACGTGGTTAAGTGGTACTTGAACTTTCAGATGAATACTCTGAGAGTTTTTAAAGAAATTGACTACCGAATAATTTAAATTTTTAAGCCTGTTGGGGATAAAAATTTTTGCTTTTATTTAGTTAGGTGTTAAATTCAATTACAGTAAAACCCGCTTAAGTACATCACGAAAAATGTCAGCCTTTTGAACGACTTAGGCGGGTTGGGTACTTAAAAGAACCCGCTTAAGTACCCCAATGCGGGTACTTAAGCGAAGATAATTGTTGATGTAGTTACATCTTTTTGTTAACTTACAAAAATATCTAAATCCTTGAATACAACATAACATTTAATGAAGTATGATTTTTAATTAAAATACAGTTCATTCCCTAACAAATACCATGTAAACCTAAGATTAAGATTTTATAAAATACTTAAAGAAAAAAAATTTATCAAATTTAAATTTTTTTTCTCAGATGTGTTTTTTGAGTATACAGGTTTATAGCCCATTCAATTCTAGTGTGATAATGTGCAAGTTTCAAGTGGCTAAAAGTGACCGTTGATTTTTTATAATTATTTTGCCGAAGGTGTGTAACGCTGCCACTGAGATTCAAAATATGTAAATATTTTAAGGAATTTTAAAAGAGCACTTAAAAGGGGAAAATTATAGGTAAAATGGTAAATGGGGTACGAAAAATTGAGGTACTTAGGTGGGTTGGGTAAATAAGCGGGGAGGTATAAGAGAGGGATTTTCTTCAGATTACATTCACATTGCCCAAAAATGTTGGTGACTTAAGCGGGTTAAGTACTTAAGCGGGGGGTACTTAAGCGGGTTTCACTGTTCAAATAAGAGATTTACATACAGTCACTCACAGAAGTATTCGTAATTTAGTTTTAGAAAGTTTAGAAAGTTGAAAATTTTTATGAAAGTTTGTCAAGTTTTCCTAAATTTTGTAAAACCTTTGCATCATTATTTTATATACCATTAGATGCAAAAATTGACGAAAGAAATGTACACAAAATATTGCAAATATTAAAAAAAAACACCGTACGGAAATATATTCTGGCTAGTTTGTGCCTACAAGTAAATAATTCGGTATTATTTATATACATACATGCATTAAATAAGAATTGCAATTAGTTAAAAATTTAATTGGTATATTTAAAAAAGTGTTGTTCAAAAATATAGAAAACTAAAACATTCATTCTTGGGAATACTTATAAAACTAATTTGTACTAAAAATGTGAAGGTACATATATGAAATTAAAAAGGTCCACAACCTATTTAGACAGCAAGTCTTATAATTATTCCGAATATCCTCTTCACGTTTTCTAGCAATTCAATAATTTTGGCATTAAAGGACGTAAACTACTGCGTTAAGTTATTAACGGCATTAATTAGTAGCCTATTCGATTAATTTCCTTCCTGTTGAATTTTTAACATAGCGTCCATTTTATTTCGGACGTCCCGCTTCCTTATCCAACTGCATAAATTTGTTTAGACGCTCACTTGTGCTTTTCTTCGCTGTTGGGTTTTGAACTTGCAGACATTGAAGGCGTGGACGTTTCGCAGAAGTTGAAGGCATGTCATCTTCACTAGATATGAGGTACTCTTCCTCGAGACCAAGTGCTGATCCTGAGAAACCTTCAACGCTTTGCACCATTCCGCAAGTACGCACAATACTCTCCTCCGTCTGGGTCAGTGTATTCTTGGAAAAGGGTCCTCCACCAGTGGCGCGTTCCTCGGCTTTATTCTGCACCAACTTCTTCCCCTCACTCTTCCAGTCCGTCCATACCTGAAATTAGAAGAAAATTAGAGAGTAACAAACGGTTGGTCATTATGCACGAGTACGCTTTGTTTATTGCCTTTTTCCAACCAGTTATATCCTTTGTAGGCGGGCCAGCACTGTTTAGTGATTCGGCTAGTTGCTGACAAAGGGAGTCTACTAATTGTTTATCCCTTTTTGTAAAGCCCTTGGCGATGTCCGGGTACTTCTCCATAAATTGCAGGAGTATATCATTTTGTGCCCTATTCTTATGTTTTCCCCTGGAAATACATATAGTTACACATTCAACCACCACACTCCCAACGTCATCACCAATATCTCCAATACCAACAACAACTACAACAAACTCTATTAGTCCGATATCCAAGTCAATGGACACCGACCATACCAATTATAAACACACTTAATTCGACACCACACAATGCACAGTAGCGGGCAACGTACACACATCCATACATACATGCACCGGCTACATAAATTTGAGACTACACAATGCATAAATCCACATACACATACATACGTACATGCGTACATGTTTATTGCAAGCATATGTAAGATCAAGTGAAGCAGCGCGTACCTCACGCCTCATCTGCAATTAAAAGTAAATCACCGGAGTAACATAAGTACTCATAAACCTTACTCCACTGCAAGTGTTAAGTAGCATGAAATAGCTAGGAATTAATGTTTGCATTCCAAAAGATGAAATTGGAGCGATCGAATTCTGATTGGTCAAATTCGATCATGCCACTCCAGGAATAAGGTATAAAAGAGGAATTTGCAAACTTTGCAAATCAGTTCTATTTCTAAAGTGAAAGTGACCAGTTCAGGTAGAAGTTCCAGTTCCGGATCCAGCTCTAGGATTGCACGATCTTGTAATTGAAAGAAAGAATATCTTTTATTTTAAAATAGAGTCACAACGTGATTCTATTATTGGCGCAGTCTCAACTAACTTAAGCGAAGGAGTTTTCTTAAAAAGCATAAATTTTTTTTTAAAGAAAAAAGATTTTATTCTTGGGATCAGACCAAAAATCCTGAAAAGAATATTTCAATCTTATAAAATTTTTTATACAAAAGAAAAAGAATCCGGTAAAACAATTGTAAATCGAATATTACATTTGTGTATATTGAGCATTTTATGAAACCTTATTATATACCAAGGAGAGTATCAGAAGAAGACGAGGACACCATGGCAACTTCAGCACAAGGATCATTAGGACAAGGAGCAGTAGGGGGAAATTTCGAAATCAATTTCGATCCACTCAAATTCATTAATCGAATGGGTGAGTATAATGGTAGCAGTGCGGCAAAACTTGTACAAATCGTGGCCAAAGTAGAATTTTTAATAAATAGTATGAGTAGTTATTCTGTACAATCAAGAAAGTTCGTAGTACTACAGATTAGGGCTAAAATCCTAGGGAAAACGAATACCACATTACTAAGATATAGTATAGACAATACTAGCTGGGAGGATATCAAAAGGATATAAGTAGAAAATTTCAGTGAGAGAAATACGTTCTTACAGTTGAGGGAAATTGCAGAAAGGATTCAGCATAAGAATATAACTCAAACGTATAATGAATTATCTAGTATTTTAACGCGAATGAACAATAAGTATCATTTGTCGGAAGAAAAATCGAGATAGAAAACCCGAATGTAACGAAGAAGCAATTTTAAACTTATTAAAAGAAAAAATCCCAATTAACGCGGCAAGCATTATAATTTCGCGGGATATTAAAACTTTATTCGAAGCGTATAGGATTTTAGAACAAAATAATTGGACGCGGTCGGATAGGAAGTATCAATTTACAAAGTTTAATTCGAGTGATGAGAACAAAAGCGATAAAAATAAATATACAAGTGCACCACGAAATTATCAGAATTATCAACGCTATCAAAATGTGAATCAGAACCAACAAAATCAAGTGAATCAACCAAGTGATTTAAATATAAATTATAATCAATCGCAAAACAAACAACCCACAGTGAATGCAAGACAGCAGAATGTGAACATGCAACAAAACTATCAACCAACACAGTTTACTCGCGGTAATACGAGCCTATGAAAATTGATAATGTTTTAGTTGAAAGCTTTGCAGAAGAAGGTCAAAGAAAAAGGAGATTCCCAATAATCGAAGTGAACATTGGAGGAATACCAGTGAAACTTTTAGTGGACTCAGGCGCAGAGGCATCTATTATAAATAGAGGAGTTTTCCCAAGGGAACAAGAAAGCAAATTAGAAGTTCCGAGAATAATAATAACCGGAAAGAAGAAGGAAATCGCGGATACAAATATCTTGACGTGGTTACCAAGAGAATTTAATAAAAGCAAACCAATCGTAACTTTCTTAGTTATGGACGCGTTTGAGGATAAACCTTATAATGGAATATTGGGAAACGATGTTCTAATTCCATTACAAATGGAATTATCCTACAAAACGAACATAATGAAAGTGAACGGGCAGGAAATACGTTTTAGAAATTTAGAAAGCCACAAAGAAAATGAACATTTTCTTAAAAGAAAAGAAAATACAGGTTTATATAAAAAGAGAGAAGGAAAGGATTTTATAAGCGTGTATGATCTCGATAGTGACAGGGAATATGTCAACGAGGATACCAAAGAAGAAGAGAAGTTTAAACTAAATATGAAAGATTTGTTTAACGAAGACTATAAAAAAGATTATTGCGTACAGGACTCTAAAGAATATACCAATGATGTAATGGAAACGGAGGAAATACAAACAGAGAATGTAAGTAAAAATTAAATTAAAAAAAAAATGCAAAACGATGCAATGAATCTTAAGGAAAAACACGAATTGCAAAAAATTATAAAACACAATAGAGAATTATTTTTTAAAGAGGGGGATAATTTAACAAGCGTAAATGAGGTAATGCACACTATTGAAACAGTCACTAATAAACCTATTTATACTAAACTTTACAGGTACCCCGATGTTCACAAGACAGAAATAAAGAAACAAATCGATGAAATGGAAAACAATGGAATCATAAAGAAGAGCTTTTCACCATATAATGCACCCTTATGGATAGTTCCAAAGAAAATGGACAATTCAGGAGTTCAGAAATGGAGAATAGTCATCGACTATAGGAAATTAAATGAGGTAACTACTGAAGATAAATTTCCTGTTCCAAATATAGACAGTATATTTGACAAACTGGAAAAGGCGCAATACTTCTCAACACTAGATTTGGCTAAAGGATTTCATCAAATCTTAGTGGATCCCAAGGACAGGCATAAAACCGCTTTTTCAACTGAGTATGGACATTACGAATACGTAAGAATGCCATTCAAATTGACAAATGTTCTTTTTTTTTAATTCTTAGGACATATTATTACAAACCAAGGATTAAAGCCAAATCCGAAAAAGATTGAGTCAATTCAAAAAATTAAATTACCAACTACAGTGAAGGAAATTAAATCATTTTTAGGTATAACTGGATACTATAGAAAATTTATCAAAGATTACAGTAAAATTGCGTATCCAATAGTGAAATACCTAAAGAAAGACAAGAAAATAGATAGAAATGATATAAAATATATCAATGCATTCGAGAAATTAAAACAACTTCTCATAGATTATCCAATTTTAAAATAGCCAGATTTTGAGACCCAGTTTGTCTTAACAACAGACGCAAGTACATTCGCAATTGGTGCTGTACTTTCTCAAGACGGACATCCTATTTGTTATGCAAGCAGAACGCTTTGCGACAGTGAAAAAAGAACTATTCAACAATAGAAAAGGAATTATTAGCCATAGTTTGGGCATGCAAATATTTTAAACCATATTTGTATGGAAACCGTTTTAAATTACAAACTGATCATAAACCTTTAATTTGGTTAAATAATTTAAAAGAAGAAAACAGTAAATTTACAAGATGGAAATTGGCACATAATGAGTATTCATTTAATATCGAATATATTAAACGAAAAGAAAATAACGTAGCGGACTTTTTGAGTAGATTACAAGTAAACGCATTGGAAGATATGGACATAGATGAAACACAAGACGATGTACAGTCTTCATGTGCAACTATACATAGTGCAATAGAGGATACAAATGATCACATTTGGATCACAGAGAAACCAATTAATTTGTTTAAAAATCAAATTATTATCACTGTAGATAAAGTGAATAGTGAGGATATTCACGAAACAACCATTTCCAGAAACAAACGAATTTTCATTTATGAAAATGTGATAAACGAAAATTTCGGGGAAATTTTAAAGAACTTAAACTTAAATAATTTTACGGTATATTGTCCGAATGAAAGAAAATACATACAATTTCAAAGGCATTTATTAAAACCCTTGGAAATTCAAGTATCAAGGCATTAAAAAGCATTATCTTTTTGGATGATATCGAAGACGAAGAAAAAGCCTTCGAAATCATAGAAAAAGAACATGTAAGACTTAATCATCGCGGAATCGATGAAAATTTCAAAGACTTAAAAGATAAAATTTATATTCCAAAATTGAAACAATTAGTAACAAGGTATATAAACAATTGTGAAATTTGTCAACATGCCAAACACGATAGATATGAAAATAAAATCAAGTATGAAAAAACAGAAATTCCGAAATCAACAAATGAAACTATACATGAAGATTTGTATATTGCGGAAAGGCAAATATTTTTTACGTTTATTGACAAATTCAGCAAACATTTGTTTATAGCACCTATAACTGATAGAAACAGTCAAACATTTATTGAAACCTTTAATTATAGGCATTCAATATTTGGAAAACCAAGTAAATACGTTTTTGATAACGAATTTAATAACTCATACATGAGAGAATATTTTAATACTGAAGAGATCTATGTACATTTCACATTACCACTAGTCAAAACGGGTAATGGTGATATTGAAAGAGTACACGGTACAACTAATGAACACCTTCGTCCTTTAAAATCACAAAATAATAAAGAACCATTTTTAAAAAGAGTAATAAAATCGGTACATTTTTATAATAGAAGCATTCATTCTACTATAAATAAGGGACCAGTTGATTTTGTGACAAACAAAATTACAAATGAAGAATTCTCAAAAATAAGAGAACAAATAATAAAAAAGCAAATCATGTCTATTAATAATAAAAACATAACAAGAACTGACAAAGTTTTAATCGATAAAGACTATATTTTTGTAAAAGTAGATAGGATAAGAAAGAGTGACCCGAAATATAAAAAAATAAAAG